TTCGAGGGTCGAGGTCGATCCGGTTTTGACTTGAAGGAGGCCGGCGGATTTCCGCTCGATAAAAAACAAGGTAAACTCAAATTCGGCGTGAGCAAAATACGTTTTGCGCGTGCCCGCTCGAAGAAAGTCGCCCCCCCACCTCCGATCCTTGATAAATAACCGGGTCCGCGGACACCCGTTTTCTCAATTAAAGATACAAGGCATTGTCAGCAGAACCCTTTAGAAAAACCAAGGTCTGGAGCTCGAGCCTGGACACAAAATGTGAAAATGTTAACTTTTTGCGTGCCCGCTCGAGGATGGCGCGTCCTGCGCGCAGGAATTCTGGGGATGTCTTGAGCGAAACGCTCGTTTTACAACATTTGACGGGCGTGGGCGCTCAAGGATGCTCGGATCGCAAACCTAGAACAATTTACGAGGGATCGCGGCTTTGGGAGCGCCGACGTCGCGTAATTTACGAGGGGTCGGGGCCCTGGTAGCGCGGACCCAGTGTAATTTACTAGGGATCGTGGCCCTGGGAGTGCAGGGGCTGCGTAATTTACGAGAGGTTGCGGCTTTTGGAGCGTAAATCCAGGGTAGTTTACAAAGGATCGTGGCTTTGGGAGCGCAAATCCAATGTAAATTCCGGGGGACTGCGGCCTTGGGAGCGCGGGTGCCGCGTAATTTACGTGGCGCGTCCATTGGCACGTCGTTTGGCGCGTCCCTTGGGGCATTCCGCGGCGCGTCCTCCTGGCACATTCCCCTGTCAATTAGCTCCGGGGCAGCTACTATGTGCTCAGGCAGCTCGAGCTTAAGATCCACATCAGTTCGGTCAGGACTCGGATGCAAAGGAGGACTCGATCCACAACACTATAGAGCACAATCGCGGCATGGCACATCACAGTTCAGCACGACGCAGCACAGCATAGCCTTCGGCACGGTACATCAAGATTGACACACTCAGCATTGCAACCTGGCACGTTCCGTGGCGCATCCCGTGGTGAGTCCCCCTGGCACGTCGCGCGTCGCGCGGCGCGTCCCCTGGCACGTCCCGTGGCACGTCCATGGGCACGTTCCGTAGAGCGTCCTTTTGGCACGTCACGCGGTGCGTCCCCGTGGCACGTCCCCTGGCACGTCGTTCGGCGCGTCCCTTGGGACATTCGCGGCGCATCCTCCTGGCATGTTCCCCTGTCAATTAGCTCTGGGGCAGCTACTATGTGCTCAGGCAGCTCGAGCTTAAGATCCACATCAGTTCGGTCAGGACTCCGGATGCAAAGGAGGAGTCGATCCACAACACTATAGAGCACAATCGCGGCATGGCACATCGCAGTTCAGCACGACGCAGCACAGCACAGCCCTCGGCACGGTACATCAAGATCGATGCATTCAGCATTGCATTGGCCCGTCGCCCAATCAGGTGTCTTTGAAACGTTGCCATGCCTTACATTTCTGTATTCTTTTCCGGGTTCGTGGGTCGATCATGGTTTGAGCATGGTTGGAGTATTTTCCCGGAAAGGGCATGAGCCCAGGGTTCTCTTTTAGTTGGTAAACCTAATCCCCCGGTGCCTGCTTGAGGGAGGCCGGCGAATTTTTTCCCTGATAAATAACGAGGTCGAAGGAGGCCGGCGAATTAAAATTTGAGGATGTCTCGAGCGAAACGCTTGTTTTTGAAATCCCGATCGATAAATCACAGGGTGCGGGCCACTTTTTCGTGTGTTGAGGATGTCTCGAGCGAAACGCTTGCTCCGCAGAGTTTGCCGAGGATGTCTCGAGCGAAACGCTTGTTTTGCAGAGCCGACCGCGACGCGGAAAAGCGCCCCGCGCGAAGGAATTTCGATGATGTCTCGACTAATTCCTTTGTTTTTGTACGATTTCCTGGAATTTTGGCAGGATGTCTCGAGCGAAATGCACGACCCCACCCTAGCACGACCATACCCCAGCACGACCACACCCCAGCACGACCAGACCCCAGCACGACCCCACCCCAGCACGACCCCACCCCAGCACGACCATACCCCAGCACGACCACACCCCAGCACGACCCGACCCCAGCACGACCCTACCCCAGCAAGACCACACCCCAGCACGACCACACCCCAGCACGACCTCACCACAGCACGACCACACCCCAGCACGACCACGCCCCAGCACGACCACGCCCCAGCACGACCACGCCCCACGACCACCCACGACCACCCCCCCAGCACGACACCCCCCAGCACGACCACCCCACGACCATACCCCAGCACGACCACACCCCAGCACGACCACACCCCAGCACGACCCCACCCCAGCACGACCACCCCAGCACGACCACACCCCAGCACGACCACACCCCAGCACGACCCCACCCCAGCACGACCCCACCCCAGCAAGACCACACCCCAGCACGACCACACCCCAGCACGACCTCACCACAGCACGACCACACCCCAGCACGACCACGCCCCAGCACGACCACGCCCCAGCACGACCACGCCCCAGCACAACCACCCCCCAGCACGACCACCCCCCCAGCACGACCACACCCCAGCACGACCACCCCCCAGCACGACCACACCCCAGCACGACCACTCCCCAGCACGACCACACCGCCTTGGTTGAGTGGTTGCCTGTCGTCGTGGAATGTTTCGTGGGGTGTCTCGTGGAATGTTTCGCGGGGTGTCTCCTGGAATGTTTCGTGAGGTGTCTCGCGGAATGTTTCGTGAGGTGTCTCGTGGGATGTTTCGTGAGGTGTCTCGTGGGATGTTTCGTGAGGTGTTGCCCCGTTGGGTATCGTGAAAACGTGCCCATGCTCCACATGTCTATATCCCTTTCCGGGTTCGTGGGTCCATCATGTTTCCCGGAGAGGGCGTAGGCCCAGGGTTATCTTTTATTAGGTAATTCCCCCCGGTGCCAGCTTCTGTAGGGCCTGCGAACTTCCGCTCGGTAGCAAAAACAGGTAATGTCCAATTCGGCGTGAACAAAATTGCGTTTCGCGCGTGCCCGCTCGAAGAAAGTCGACCGCCCACCTCGTCGGATCCTTGATAAATAACACGGTCCGCGGACCCCCGTTTCCCTTGATAAGAAACGGAGTAAAGTCCAATTCGGCGCAGAAAGTGCGTTTCGCGCGTGCCCGCTCGAGGAAAGTAGACCCCCCATCTCGGATCCTTGATAAATAACCAGGTCCGCGGACACCCGTTTTCCTTGATAAAGAATGATGTCAAGTCCAACGTGGCGCGGAAAGCGTGAACATGTAGAGCTTTTGCGTGCCCGCTCGAGGATGGTGCGCCCCCCGCGCCAAAACATCGAGGATGTCCCGAGCGAAACGCGTGTTTTGTAAAACTTGATGGACTTGGGCGCCCCAGCATGCCCCAGGAGGCCCTGGGAGCGCGGACGCGCCGTAATCTACGAGGGATCGTGGCGTTTGGAGCGCGGACCACGCGTGATTTGCAAGGGATCGTTGCCCTCGGAGCGCGGGCGCAGCGTAATTTACAAGGGGTCGGGGCCTTGAGAGCTCGGACGCAATTTAATTTACGAGGGATCGTGGCCCTGGGGGCTCGGACGCAGTGCAATTTACGATGGATCGTGGCCCTGGGAGCGCGGACGCCGCGTAATTTACAAGGGGTCGGAGCCCTGGGAGCGCGACCCCAATGTAATTTACGAGGGACCGTGGCCCTGGGAGCGCGGACGCAGCGTAATTGTCAAGGGATCGTGGCCCTGGGAGCGCGACCCCAGTGTAAGTTAGGAGGGATCGCGCAGTGGGAGCGCGGACCCTGCGGAATTGCAAAGGATCGTGGTCTTGTGAGCGCGGACGCAGCGTAAATTACTTAGGATCGTGGCCCTTGGAGTGCGGGCGCAGCGTAATTTACGAGGGGTCGGGGCCCTGGGAGCGCGACCCCAGTGTAATCTACAAGGGATCGGGGCCCTTGGAGCGCGGGCGCAGTGAATTGTTCAGGTTCGTGACCCTAGGAATGCGGACGCAGCGTAATTTATGAGGGGTCGTGACAGCTGGAGTGGGGGCGCAGCGTGATTTTGGGCATCGTCTCGGTTGGTACTGCCTTGTTCCGTCTTTCTTTGGATTCGCCCCTTTCAATTCGTCTTGTTTCATAACTGAGTCGGAACTTGAGCTCGGCAGCACGGCACAACGCGGCGCAGGACAGCGCGCATTGTTGGGACGTCTATTTCGTGGGGTGGTTCGTGGGATGTTTCGTGGGGTGTTTCGTGGGGTGTTTCGTTTGGTGATTCGTGGGGTGTGTCGTGGCTGTTCGTTGGGTGTTTCGTCAAGTGTTTCCTAGCGTGCTTCATTGAGTGTTCCTTGGGGTGTGTCGCGGGGTGCTTCGTAGGGCGTTTCGTGGGCTGTTTCGTGTTTCGTTTCGTCCAGCATTTCGCAGCACGGCACAGCGCAGCGCAGCTTCTGGCACGGTGCCACCGCCATCGATATATTCATCATTGTTACTGCCCATCGCCCAATCCAGGTGCCCCGAAACGCTTCCACGCTTCACATGCCTATATCCCTCTCCGGGCTCGTGGGTCCAGCATGCTATGTTTTGTCCAAACTCCGCCTGCAGGGGGACATGCCCGACCTAAGTTTATGATGGGGCCGAGGAGTGCCGCGGGGACCCCAAGTAAGCCTCAGCCAGCTTCGAGGTGCCCTGGGCGGGTCCGGCCTGACCAACTCTGACAACTTCCTGGCATCGCGAACGAAAGCACGACGGGTTGTGCTCTGCTGCTGGAGCCCCCGCAGGGGCGAGCAGTCGGCCCAGACATCTTGGGAATCCCGTGGTGGAAAAAAACACGACGTCGAATGTATTGGAAGGAGGTTTACACGGAGGTCGAAGGAGGAGAACCGGTATAGAAATCGCCTCTCGCAGGTCCGCGCGGATTTCTTGCGTCGACGCTGGACCAAACATGGCGGCGTATATGGCGCCGCGCCTGGCTTTCGCCCCGCGCACCAACGAGATAAGGTCCAGCGCCGATCCAAGAGATCCGCTCGGATCTCGAAAGTGGCTGCTCAGCCAAGGGCTCCGAATGGTTTCCCACGCAGGCCCGCAGTCACTTTGGCTCCCGCCGCTCTAGGTCGAGCCGCTCTCGCTTGAGCTGCTATATGAGCTGCTGTTGAAATATGGCTGCTGGCGGGCACCTCGCAGTGATAGTGAGCCTTGTGTGCTGTGTCGCGACGTATGTGGTGTTTGGACTCGGCACCAGCTCGCGTTCTGTCCGTTTCATGTTTGGCAGCGGCGTAAACAACCGTACGGCGTTGGCCAAGCGCACGCGGAATCAGGCACCAAATAAATACGACGTGTCAGAAGAAGACGTACCAAACAGTGACACAGCCATGGGCATGGTCGATCATATGATCTCTCGGATCTTGCAGTCGCAAACCATCCAGGAAGAGGCCAACAAGTTCTTGCACTCCCCCCTACCTCCCAAGAGGAAAGTCAGCAAATCACAGCCGCTTGTATTTTTCGCACAGCGAAATGCAGGCGACGCTGCTCTCACAGACTTGCTGTCGCAGGCTTCGAAGGAGGAATCGTTGTCAATTGCTTCCCCTGGGAAGGACGTAGCGTGGTATGGTGGCAAATCTGCGGCTGTCTACATTGGGCCTGTGGACTGGATGGAGGTGTCTCGCACATTTGCGCGGCGGAACAAGTTTTCCCAAGAATCGCACGCCTGGCATGGGGGAAATCCGGACTTCTCGTGCATGACAAATTTCCAGGACCCCCTGGCGCGCATCCAGTCATGCTACTACCGCCAGCTCCTGAAGCAGGGCGCCCCGGCCTGCCTCGCCGATCTGGAGCCCGAGCGGATGCGGGAGTTCTTCCACCGGAGCCATGGTGCGAATGGGTACAGTTGCATGAACGAGCCGTTCCGATTGATGAGCGGCTTGGTTCACGATTATTTGTTCGATGTGGACGCTTCAACCGAGGAGTGGAATTTCGTGTTCAGGTCGACGCTGCAGAACCTTGCCCGCTGCGTCCCGATCATCGTCGAGGATGTTTCAACGCTCAAGGCTGCGGCCTCATGGTTTCCGATGCTCGATGAGGGCGCGAATGATATCAGTGACCTCGTGGAGGAGATCAAGAGCGAGTCCTCAACGTGTAAGCTTTCTGAGCCCCAGTTGGATGTGCTGAGAAGCCTAACAGCACACGAACAAAGGCTGTACGACTTGGCTGTAGAGAGGGCCAGACAATTTCTCCCCCATAGGGCCTGATGCTCGGATCTAGGTATTAGCTGATGACAAGAGGTGTGCGGGCCTCTGTGCCAATTGTATCATCCGCGTTGTACTGCAAGAGAGAAAACATCCAAGGGAACCCAGGACTGGCCCCCTACGGTCCCAAGAGGCCTCGCCGAGAAGGTCTGAATAGTGTTTGGGCGTCGGGCTTCGAGAGGACATCGCGCCATGGATGCTATCTCGGCATGCGCGTGACTTGTTGTGCTTCGTGCTGTTGCGTGTTGGTCATGGGCACGTCGTATGTGGCCCTCCGCTGGCGAGCAGCGTGCGCAAATCATGGATCCTTTTTCCCGGAAAGGGCGGGGGCCCAGGGTTCTCTTTTAGTAGGTAAACCTGTCCCCCGGTGCCAACTTGAGGGAGGCCGGCGAATTTTTTCCCTGATAAATAACGAGGTCGAAGGAGGCCGGCGAATTAAAATTTGAGGATGTCTCGAGCGAAACGCTTGTTCCCGGAAAGGGCATGAGCCCAGGGTTCTCTTTTAGTTGGTAAACCTGTCCCCCGGTGCCAACTTGAGGGAGGCCGGCGAATTTTTTCCCTGATAAATAACGAGGTCGAAGGAGGCCGGCGAATTAAAATTTGAGGATGTCTCGAGCGAAACGCTTGTTTTTGAAATCCCGATCGATAAATCACAGGGTGCGGGCCACTTTTTCGTGTGTTGAGGATGTCTCGAGCGAAACGCTTGCTCCGCAGAGTTTGCCGAGGATGTCTCGAGCGAAACGCTTGTTTTGCAGAGCCGACCGCGACGCGGAAAAGCGCCCCGCGCGAAGGAATTTCGATGATGTCTCGACTAATTCGTTTGTTTTTGTACGATTTCCTGGAATTTTGGCAGGATGTCTCGAGCGAAATGCACGACCCCACCCTAGCACGACCATACCCCAGCACGACCACACCCCAGCACGACCAGACCCCAGCACGACCCCACCCCAGCACGACCCCACCCCAGCACGACCATACCCCAGCACGACCACACCCCAGCACGACCCGACCCCAGCACGACCCTACCCCAGCAAGACCACACCCCAGCACGACCACACCCCAGCACGACCTCACCACCACGACCACACCCCAGCACGACCACGCCCCAGCACGACCACGCCCCAGCACGACCACGCCCCAGCACGACCACCCCCCAGCACGACCACCCCCCAGCACGACCACCCCCCAGCACGACCACCCCCCAGCACGACCACACCCCAGCACGACCACACCCCAACACGACCATACTCCAGCACGACCACACCCCAGCACGACCACACCCAGTCGCACCCCCGTGGAATGTTTCGTGGGGTGTCTGGTTGAGTGGTTGCCTGTTCGTGGGGTGTCTCGTGGAATGTTTCACGGGGTGTCTCGTGGAATGTTTCGTGAGGTGTCTCGTGGGTTGTTTCGTGAGGTGTCTCCTGGGATGTTTCGCGGGGTGTCTCGTGGGATGTTTCGTGAGGTGTCGCCCAGTTGGATATCGTGAAAACGTGACCATGCTGCACATGTCTATATCCCTTTCCGGGTTCGTGGGTCCATCATGTTCCCGGAAAGGGCCTGGGCCCAGGGTTCTCTTTTAGTTGGTAAACCTAATCCCCCGGTGCCTGCTTGAGGGAGGCCGGCTAATTTTTTCCCTGATAAATAACGAGGTCGAAGGAGGCCGGCGAATTAAAATTTGAGGATGTCTCGAGCGAAACGCTTGTTTTTGAAATCCCGATCGATAAATCACAGGGTGCGGGCCACTTTTTCGTGTGTTGAGGATGTCTCGAGCGAAACGCTTGCTCCGCAGAGTTTGCCGAGGATGTCTCGAGCGAAACGCTTGTTTTGCCGAGCCGACCGCGACGCGGAAAAGCGCCCCGCGCGAAGGAATTTCGATGATGTCTCGACAATTCTAATTCCTTTGTTTCCCGGAAAGGCTGAGCACAAGGGTTCTCTTTTATTGGGTGAACCTGTACCCCGGTGCCAACTTGAAAGAGGCCGGCGGATTTTTTCCCTGATAAATATCGAGGTCGAAGGAGGCCGGCAGATTAAAATTTGAGGATGTCTCGAGCGAAACGCTTGTTTTTGAAATCCCGATCGATAAATCACAGGGTGCGGGCCACTTTTTCGTGTGTTGAGGATGTCTCGAGCGAAACGCTTGCTCCGCAGAGTTTGCCGAGGATGTCTCGAGCGAAACTCTTGTTTTGCAGAGCCGACCGCGACGCGGAAAAGCGCCCCGCGCGAAGGAATTTCGATGATGTCTCGACTAATTCGTTTGTTTTTGTACGATTTCC